CTAGGCGGCTAGGCGGGATCTAGGTGGGCGCCTAGGCGGCCTAGGCGGATTTAGGTAAATTTCTTGTATATCTTGTAAATAAATGCATATTGACACATAAAAAAAATTATACTCGTATAAAATTCATAAATAAAATAATAAAAGAATAATAAAATACAAAAAGAATATCTAACAAGTCTAAAATTTAGAAACACATTAAGCGTATATGCCATATAACTTAAAACATTTTGAATGACTATATCTAATTTTTAAAAAATAAAAGTAAAAATCTCACGTAGTGGGTTGAATGTTTCATAATAAAACTACTAAGAAGCCATGCCAAGCATCCCCTAACCAAACCATGCACATCTATCATCAACGAAATCCTCTCTCCCACTTTGAACTTTGGAGCACCAAACCGGTCAGAAGAGCATCCTTCTCCATTTCAACCACCACGTCTGTGGTGTGACAACTCCCTCAACCCCTAGTTTCCATCACTCACATCAGCAGTAGACTCACAAACAAAGGAGACCATTTTTATTCTTTTTTATTCTTTCCTTTGAATATAAAAATTTAAACAATCAAATAGCAACTTGATTCTGGGCATTGACAGCCCATTTTTCTTTTATGGAAATGTGAACTTAATGTTAGCTGTCCAACTGTGATGGGACGAAATAAAAAAAAAAATTAAATGGGAAAGTTTGAGGGTGGTCACGTGAGAATGAAAGGATGAGAGAGAAAGTTTCTCATCTTCTTCCTCCTTTCTTCGCAAGAACTGAAACCTGCAAACTTAGAAATTCCAGAACACCTTGCACTCATCCTTTCTCAAGTTTGAAAACAGAAAAAAATTGAAATTCCAGACCGCCTAGGCCAACCAGTCGGCCGCCTAGGACGCCCAAGGTCCGCCCAAGCCGCCTCGGCACCCGCCTAATTCTTTCCCCGATTTTTCTCCCGATTAACAGTTAATCCCGGCGGCTGGCCACCGCCCAGCGCCTAGGCGCCGCCTAGACCGATTTTTAGAACACTGATCTGTGTAATCAAAAGACAAGAAAATATAAGAAGTAAAGTTTTCTCTCTCTCTCTCTCTAAATACCTTTCTCTATTTCTTCATTCTTCTTCTGCTATTCCTCTTATATTCTTTTCTCCATATTGGTTAACAATATACACCCTATAATTTTTTAAAGCAACCCACCTTCTTTATTTGCAGACCTCTCCCCCTTTTCCTTCTTTTTTCTACTTCTTTGTATTTTCTTTAGCCTTCCACAACCTACCTCTTACTTGGTTGTCTGGGTTTTTACATTTTTTTCTTTTTAGTATTGAATTTAAGAGAATTTTTTCAGTTTTGTGAGAATTACACAAATTGCATATGTCAATATGTTATGAATTCAACTTTTTACACACTCATGTATATACACACATATTTATGAAAAGCCCCTCCTCATTCAGAATTCTGGCTCCGCCACAGCCGCCACCACCATGATGACCACCTCCTCCCCAGCCTCTTCCTACATGGTGACCACCTCCTCCCCAGCCTTCACCTCCATGATGACCACTACCTCCGCCTCCCCAACCACCATAGCCGCCACCTCCACCTCCATATCCGCCACCTCCACCTCCATATCCATATCCATCAGGCTTTGTTTCAGTGTTATCTTCTACCGCTTTTGGCTCTGTTGTTGCGTTATTTTAAATGGGTGTGTGTAGTAATGTCAATACGCTAAGTAAATGATATGTATCTTGTATATTTTTATATAGAGTCACCACACTGTATAATTAACTAACCTTTTTTCTCATCTTGGGATGTCTCATCTGCGGTAGTGGAAGAGAAGAGAACCAGGGTGCCCAGCAGAAGGCCTAGCAAAATCAAAGACTTGAAATATTTCATGATTTCTCGAAATCTTATGTTACGTGCTCAAAATTCTTACAAAAAAATATGGGCATGCTCTAAGCTTTTGGCGATCACCACAGTTTATAGTGCGAAGTACTACTGAACGACAAAATAAGGCGTTTAGTAGATGAACCAGACAATATGCATGTTTACGAGTGACGGTTCATATCTCAGTTCAAGCAAAAGACATCTGTGTGTGGGTTGAGCTCAGCATGCATGTGAATATGGAGACACACACACACACACACCCTCGCAAAGGTAGACGCACCAATTCGTTATATTAAACTAAGGATATATTTGCATTCTCCCTTGGAGAGATGTGCTTATTCTCTCGTCTGTAAATAACGTATCTTGATAGTACAAATTTCATGATTTTTATTTAAAGATTACCCCTACAAAGAATCATTTGAATTAAAAATCATTTAGTGATTCAAATGTATAGAACAAATTAAGAGTGTGGGTAACAAGTAATATATTATGACGAATCATCTATTTATTTGATAGTGATTGAATGATCTCCAAAATTTGATTGAATGTTTTGTAGAATTGGTATTCAAATGAAGATTAGTAGTTTGAGCGATTTCATCGTTAATTTTATTCGGTTGAAATATGTTACTTGTAAATAGAGAAATATGGAGATGCAAGTATTATCCTTAAAATCTATATTTGAATCTTGAAAATAAAATTTATATTTGAAAACCCATTTGACGAGATCCAAAATTTATATCCTAATTTGCACAAGGTGGAATGCGATTCATACTGTTGATCCAATAGCTACTTTAAGTAGAATTTGCTAACGCATGTGATTAAAGAACGAAAAAAACTCCATGAAAATTCCCTAGTTTTCTTTTTCCCAAATAATTCAAAAGAGGAAAAAAAGCATTCGTTTAAATATCACTACAATAATGCTACAACACCAAAATAAAGCAAACAATGAGTATTATCGCTAAAATGCAGCTAATTCCAACTACCAGAGCCATCTTAATCCAAACTGAGGTCTAAGAAGAAAAAAATGAAATGAGGCCTTCCCAATTTAGTAGCTTAATATAAAATTTTCAAAAAATATGAATTTGAGATGCATCAGATTAGATTTAGTAGAATAAGAAACTTATTTTTCCTTCTTTCGAATCAAGAGTACAATGAATGATAAAAATATAAGTCTAATTTGAAGTGAGACCCAAGGCACATGCCTTGTTCACCGTGTCTCTGGGCCGCCTCTGCCAACTACCATGATCCTTCAGCACCCAATGTCGGATTTTCAGAAGCTGAGAAACCCCAAAATGTCTTCAAGGAGTAGGGCTGAGAGATTGTTACACCTTCTTCAGAGATTTTTGCTATCTGAAGCTTGTTGACAGAAGATTGATCTCGTTAGATGCATTTCTTTAGCAGCTTTACACCCTCTTCATAAGTCAAGTTCTCATTCCACTCATCACGAAGAATAGGCGCAAGGTGATTTCCAAATCCTGTAGCTACATGATTGTCCTCAAAATTTACACCAATCATGCTAACCAGGCCAAGGTACTTCTGTCCATTTTTAACTCCACCAAGAACAAGAGAGTTCCACAATGGATTGAACTTGTTACGCCTAGTGTACATCACACGGTTCAAATAGCTGTCCACCTCTTTGGGTCCCAAAGAGGTCCCATCATCCCACATGTTGTCGTACAAGACGAGATCATCCAGATGACGTAAGCTCCTGAAGGTCACTTATTTCTCCACTTGCACCAAGAAGAAAATGTTTTCCAATAAGTTTCATTCGTTCGACACTCTTGTATCGCAGGGTAGACCCATAAGAACCTTCCATATCAGCAGCCATCAAAATTCCATCTGTATACTTGAGAGCCACAACAGATGTACCAGTTACATATGGGTACATGGTTCTCTGAGAGCTTTCAAGATTGCACAGTAGGTCAGGTTTCGATTGGTTCGACTCCATTAAACTCGTTTTTTGTTTTCGAAGATTTTGAAACCAAGAGAAAAAATGCTCACGATCTGAAGCTTCCGAGTACAATTTACAAGAACCTAAAATCCACCTTATTATCTATATAAAAGTCTCAAATTTGTATTGAATAAATTGAAATCTGAATATTACAACAGAAAACTAGGCTATATATGTTGAGAACGAGTCATACCTTGATGGAAGGAAGAACTTTGCATAAGCTTATAAGTAGTTGGGCTACTCCCTCATATTGCCAATTGGTTTTATGGTGGAACATCAATTTATTCATGGTATCAGGTTGTCTCACATGTGAAGCCTAACAGCCACACACGCTCCACATCACTCCGTTGTGTGTCCACATATTAGGCTTGAAAATTCACCAAACGTGAGGGAGCGTGTTGAGAATTAGTCTCACCTTGATGGGAGAAAGGACCTTGCATGAGCTTATAAGTAGTTGTGCTACTCTTCATATTACCAATTGGTTTTATGGTAAAACCTCATCTTTCTTCAATATACATATATAGCTATCAAAACTTAATCCTACTTGTAAACATAAAAGCTACGTCCGAAATGAGAAGGAAAAGAAAATCCTAATTAAATAAAAAACAAACAAATCAAATAGAAAGAAAAAAAGTAAAGTAATTAAAACCTATAGCTTTCAGGAAAATTCACCCACACACACATTTATATATTTGGTACATAAAAATTAGTTTTTATTTATTAATTTATTATATCTGTGAATCTAATGTATGCAGATAGTTTCCTATAAATTTACAGTATGGTGATGGTGTGGAGCATGAGTCCCGTGATCTCCTCATGGATATCTGAAATCCACGATGAACAGAGATCATAATGTTCCTGTATGAGCTAATGAGAACAGTGTTAGAAGGAGAATCCTCTAGGATTTCCATCTCCTCCTACAATTAGGATATAATTAATTACTTGCCGGAGTTGTATTTGTATTCTTATAAAAAAAAATTGAACTATAAACCAAGTTATACCTTGTATCTTGTTAAGCTCTAGGGCTTATGTAAATTGGGTCATCAATAATTTTATTTAATTCTCTAAATTCGGTATTATTCGTCTAGGTCTTTGATATGCTTTCTCTCTAAACACATAAACCGTCCCACCTTAATTTCCCAGCCTATCCCTAAAAATAAAATAAAGTAGAACAAAAGAGACTGAACAAATTGGATACAAAACGTTACTTGTATATGTCATTGATTTCGTATATCATCAATCGATGACATGCATTACACAGGTACTTGAATTTATTCACGAAATTAATTAAAGAGCACTCAAACCATGAGATTATAACTGAGTACATATACAATATCCACCCAGCTAGCACTCGTGATTAACTTTATTTTTGCATACCTCTCGCTAGTGAAGTTTTATTCGATTCACATATAGGAATACGATCAAGGGAAGTACTTCAAGCATATATATTAAGCACATGCATTAGAATATAATTATCTAATTAGATAATTAATTAAGCACACTGCATGCATGGGCATGCAGAAGCCTAATTAACTAATGAACTAGTTGTGAGGTTGTGCATCAACAGCCTGACCAGTATGATTGCAGCACCTTTGGCAATCTCTGTTGTAACTCCATCTGCAACAACCATAGTAGCAACGCCCTCAACGGCCTACTCCATTATACCCACCTCGTCCATCTGTTTGCTTGCGATTATTCCCACCTCGCCCATCTGCTTGCTTGCGATTATACCCACCTCGCCCATCTTCTTGGTACCCGCCACCATACTTGGCGTCACCTACACCACTGGGATTTGTAGTAGTCTCCGCAGCTGAAAGTCATATAAGGAACGTACGTTTAAATGAGGTGGCAATATTTCATTTATTCAAATCATTTTGAATTTGGAACCTAATTTAATTTTAAGTAGCATGTACATGTACTATATCTATTTGGTGAATAAAGTTAAGTACTCTAGTATTATGTTGTGGAAAGTACAACAAATTAAGCTCACAAATTGTATTTATAACTTTGCTTAGCAACTTTGGTGACACTAGGTAGCTAGCAATATATAATTTCTACAAAAAATAAAAGGGAAAAGTTAAGCTCACCATTTGCGGCCACTTCAAAGGAAATGAGAAGGACAATGGCAAGCAAAAGACCAAAGTAAATGGAAGTCTTGGAAACCATTTTTGTTCAATTGAAAAGAGAGTAGAACACTTGGAAATTAAGATGCATTCTTGCCTCTATTTATAGAGAAAAATAGTGGGCAGTGTACAATAAATCTATAAGTTAACCCCACAGGCCACACCACCGTGACTTTTCAAACAAAACAAAAGCCTAACTAGGATTATCACATCATGACCAAAGACCTAGCCTACTTAGACTTCTTATCTCATCATCATAATTCCATCACCTTTAAACCCATCCGTGCATGCATCCTGATCCCTGTCTAAATAAATTTCAAATTCATTTATTACTAATTATCACCATATTTTAAATGGATAATAATCAGTTTAAAATCCAACCCCATTAGCAGCTTCCAAGTGATGTCTGCAAATAAACAACATTCAAATATTAACTTAATATCATTTTGCAGCATACCACTTGAATCCATCAGCCAAACCAAACTGATCCAGTCCACACGCCCATACACCAGACATCCCTAATCAATTTGAACTGTAGTGCTTGCTTGGGGATATAATTTGAATCCCATTTATCCCATATAAGAAAATGTCAAGATGAATCATATTAAAAGATCATTATTATGATAAAAATCATAATATTTTATCCTTCAATAATAACAAAATTATCTTCATTTTTTCATCCGACGGTTGGAATTTGTGCTCACTCAATGACCTTGATTACACACGGACGATGGTACAATTTTGGGTCCAAACAGGTTCATATATTGTCTCGCGTGGAAGTGGGAGAAAGAATAACACAGCCACACACATAGAGAAGTGCAAAATCAGTGTGTTTTCTCACCGAAAGGTTATTTTCTGCTTAGGTAATCTACTACCATGAAGGCATCCGAAGTGGAAGATACTTGGCACTTATTCTTAAAAAATAAAAAATAAAAAATAAAAAAAGATTTAAGAAAAATACCAAGCCATTCATAGAGTCAAGTATACATTAGATTTTTTTAAATTACGGAAATGAGGATTCAAACTTGAGTGCAAAAAATAGAATAGACTGCTCTAGCTACTTTGAATAATTTTAAGTTTGCAAGCTAAGCAATTTACCAATCAGCGTTGTAAATGGTCGATTAATTTGAATTCAACTGCAATATTAAAAAAAGAATCCAAAGCAATCAGCGTTGGAAGCGGGTTTTCTCACAGAAGGGTTATTTTTTGCTCAGTTTGACAACGCTTCCTCTCCTCTGTGGTCAATATATTCTGAAGTTGACTTTTCAGATTTGTGTAGACATCGAAATTTCGGTAAAATAAATGTTGATCAATAACTAAAATTTCAATGTTTATGTGTCACATAAATTTTACACATAGCATGTGACTAAACGAAAAATCAAAATAAATCGAAAAAGTCATCAAACAGGACACGTGTCAACACCTGGCAGAAATGATTTATTTCATCTAATTATTTAAATCCAAAAAAATCAAGTTTTGGAATTCTATAAATAGGAGGCCAAGGCATTCATTTTGGGGGGACCAATTCATAACCAATTCACCTCATACCACAACCTTGAAGCTTTGAAACTCAAAAGCTCTCAAGCAAATCTCGAAGGATCAAGAGAGCTCTCTTCGTTCTTCGTCAAATCCTCATTCAAAATCAAGCCCCAACGACCCTTGAAGAACTTCCGCTGATTCAAGATCAAGCCCCGACGGCCCTTGAAGAAAGTGTCCATCGTTCATCATTCGTTCATCCCTAGATCAAGCCCCGACGACCCTTTGGATCCACGACGTCAACAAATCTGCACAACTATTTATCCCAAGATCAAGCCCCGACGGCCCTTTGGACCAACAACATCAAATCCACCCATTGCAAAGATAGAATCAGAGGCTAAATTTGTAGAAGAGATTGTAACCCCTAAATCATCAATACAAATATTATTTTGTACACGTGTTTCTTGTCTCGTTCATCGCAGGAATTTCCGTGTTTACAAATTTGGCACGCCCGGTGGGATAATCTCTACCTCTCATCTCTATCTTTGAATCAGCAAAAAGCACAAATGGCATCAAAGAAGGCTCAAGTTGTTCTCGCAGCCAATGCAAGGAACAAGAACGTTATCACCGTAGGCGGTGTTACTTCGGGCGTCATAACTCGAAGCAAGGCAAGAGCTCTTTCTGCCGCATCTTCCACCCCTGCATCAACTCCACCGAAGGAACAAGAGCACCTGAGGCATGAACCTTTGATCACCCTGGCTTCGCTAAAGGCGCCAAGGAAGGAAAGCCCAAGGAAGTACTCTGGTTTCATGCTTTCCGATGCCGACACAAGTGGCAACTCAGCCATGTAAGTCATGACTACTGGAGCGACTTCAATCGATGAGCAGCTGGCTCATATGAATGAAGCAATTGCAAGGCTAACACAGATTGTGGAAGAAAAAGACCAGCAAATCGCCGCACTCGTCAACCAACTAGATGTAAAGCCTAACGTGAAAATCGAGCAAGGGGATGGTTCAGTAAAGAAGGAAAACGACGAGGATGAAGAGCCTCTGGTGGAGAAAATCGATGTGAAGCCGGAGCCAGGCCAAGTAAAGGCACTCATGGGATCTCTTTCTATCCAACAACTGCAAGAAATGATCGCCAGCACCATCAAGGCGCAGTACGAGGGGAGCTCACATACCTCATCATTCTACTCAAAGCCCTACTCCAAGAAGATTGATGCCCTAAAGATGCCAAGGGGTTATCAACCACCAAAGTTCATGCAGTTTGATGGAAAAGGAAATCCGAAGCAACATGTCGCACATTTCGTCGAAACCTGCAACAATGCAGGGACGGAAGGAGATTACCTCGCCAAGCAGTTTGTGCGCTCGTTAAAAGGAAACGCCTTTGAGTGGTACACAGACCTGGAGCCCGAATCCATCAACAGCTGGGAACAGTTGGAAAGGGAATTCCTCAACCGCTTTTACAGCACCCGTCGCACCGTGAGCATGCTAGAGCTGACAAGCACGAAGCAATGGAGGGATGAACCAGTCATGGACTACATCAACCGATGGCGCAATCTGAGCCTCGATTGCAAGGACAGGCTCTCGGAGATCTCTTCGATTGAGATGTGCGTCCAAGGCATGCAATGGGGGTTACACTATATCCTTCAAGGCATCAAACCACGGACATTTGAAGAGTTAGCCACCCGTGCCCATGACATGGAGCTAAGTATTGCCCATCACGGGAAGAAAGACCCGATCACCGACTTCAAGAAGGATAAGGTGTTCTCCCCAAATGTAGACAAGACTGGGAAGAAACCCCCCGAGGAAGCGTTCACCATCAGCACTGCGCCCGTCAAGACCGCCTCCTCGCCTATCAAGATCTCCTCTAAAACTAAAGCAAATGAGATAAAGAAAAGTGAGCCTCCCCGCACCCAAGAAAGGTACAAAAGCACCTTGAGGGAATTGGAGCAGAAGGTATACCCTTTTCCTGATTCAGACATGGATGCAATGTTAGACTATTTTCTAGAAAAGAAGGTAATCGAGCTACCCGAATGCAAGCGGCCTGAAGAAATGAATCGCATAAACGATCCTAAATACTGCAAGTACCATCGAATCGTGAGCCATCCTGTGGGTAAATGCTTCATCCTCAAAGAGCTCATCATGAAGCTAGCACAACAAGGGCGAATCGAGCTCGACCTCGAAGACACGGCCGTGACACATACTACTACAATTGCATTTGGAACTTTCGATCCCGTGCCTCTCCAAGTAGCACTTGACCATTCCTATCAATGTTCAAGTTACACGATACCTTCTGCGCAACCATTACCGGGGGCAAACGAACAAGATGCACATGCCGATGATGAAGAAGGATGGACATTGGTGACCTACAAAAAAATAAGGAAACCAAAACCACAAGCCATAAGACAAAAGGTGGAACAAGCGGGAAAGCACCATCCCCGCAACAGTAGGAAGCCCAAAAGAAACGTAAAAGTTGATAAGCCAATGTATGCTGGGGAACCTATGGAGCAAGAGCCACGCATTCCTATCTCATTGCACGAGTACTTCCCGAATGACTTCTTCCAACAGTGCACTATCGCTGCATGCCACATGGTCGAAGTAGAAATAGAAGAACCTTCAAAAGGCAAAGATATCACCACTGAGGGAGAAAAAACTCTCACTCTCGAAGAAGGTCTGCCAACACACTTCAGCATTGAGGAAGCGCTGCGATTACCAAAGAAGATGCGATTAGCATTAGCAGCAGTCTTGGAAAGTCCCAATGACCACGAAGTGCAAGAAAGCAAGAACGAAGGCTTGAAGCTTCGACCACATGAATGTGCCACATGCTGTGCCATCGAGGACGCAATCCATTTCACCGACGAAGACTTGCTGCTAGGATCCAAGCCTCACAACCGTCATCTCTTCGTCTCTGGGTACGTAAGGGAGCACAAAGTCAATCGCATGCTTGTGGATGGTGGATCAGCCATAAACATCATGCCAAAGTCAACAATGACTACAATCGGCATCAAGGCGGATGAACTGTCCTTAAGTCGTCTATTAATCCAAGGTTTTAATCAAGGAGGACAAAAAGCGATGGGCATGATCCGGGTAGAGATGACTATTGGTGAACTCAAGTCAAGCACGATATTCCATGTGATTGATGCAAGAACTTCCTACGGCTTGCTCTTAGGAAGGCCTTGGATCCATGCAAATGGAGTAGTACCGTCCACCCTTCACCAATGCTTGAAATTCTACCGAGAAGGAGTGAAGGTGATCTATGGCGACACCAAACCATTCACCGAAGCCGAATCACATTTCGCAGACGCCAAGTTCTACATGGATGAAGACATGGTGCTCGAAGCTCTTCCAAAAGAGATCAAATCCACGGGTAAAGCAACACCTAAAAAGCAGGAGTGGCAAGCCATGCCCAAGAAGCAAGAAGAAGAAGCCATGTCGTTTTTAAGCAAGAATGATGATGAGCTTGCTAAACCTGCAACAACCAAAGGGAGTAAGACGCCCTCAAATGTACTAAACACACCCGTTTTCCGATACATCCCGATGTCGAGAAGAAAGAATGGTCAATCCCCATTCGAAACCGAAGCAAGCAAAGCCGATGCACAACGGTATATGGAT